CCAGTGTCCCCGGTCGCTCGCTGCCCCCTGACGTGTCGCTGTCTCTCTCTGTCGCTGTCGCTGTCCCCTCAGCGCTCTCTGGAGGATGAGATCAACCGCACGAGCGGGGAGGACATCCCGGTGTTCGCCATCAGTTACCTGCTGGTGTTCGCCTACATCGCGCTGGCCCTGGGCGAGTACACGGCCTGCAGGAGGCTCCTGGTGAGCCCGGGGGTGTCGCTGTCCCCAGCTGTCGCTGTCCCCGGGGGTGGCCCAGAGGTGTCCCAGGGTGTCGCTGTCCCCGCTCCCCATCACTCTGACCCGCGGTGTCCGTGTCCCCGGTCCCTGTCACACTGACCCCGCGGTGTCGCTGTCCCGATGGTGTCGCTGTCCCGGGGGTGGCTCGGGGGTCCCAATGGTGTCGCTGTCCCCGGTCCGTGTCACACTGTCCCGCGGTGTCGCTCTCCCGCGGTGTCCCTGTCCCCGCTCCCCATCACTCTGACCCGCGGTGTCCCTGTCACACTGACCCCGCGCTGTCGCTGTCCCTGTCCCGGCGGTGTCGCCGTCCCGGTGGTGTCGCTGTCCCTGCTCCCCGTCACTCTGTGCCCGGTGTCGCTGTCCCGCGGTGTCGCTGTCCCGGAGGGTGGCCAAAGGGTGTCCCAGGGTCGCTGTCCCCTGTCCCTGTCACTCTGTCCCCGGTCCCTGTCCCCGCTCCCCATCACTCTGACCCGCGGTGTCGCTGTCCCCGGTCCCTGTCACACTGTCCCGCGGTGTCGCTGTCCCGGGGGGTGTCCCAGGGGTGTCCCAGGGTGTCGCTGTCCCTGTCACTCTGTCCCCGGTCCCTGTCCCCTGTCCCGTCACTCTGTCCCCGCTCCCTGTCCCCTGTCCCGTCACTCTGTCCCCGGTGTCACTGTCCCGTCACTCTGTCCCCGTGTCCCTGTCCCCATCACGCTGTCCCGGTGTCGCAGGTGGAGTCCAAGGTGACGCTGGCTCTCGGTGGCATCGCGGTGGTGCTGGGGGCCGTGCTGGCCGCCATGGGGCTGCTGGCCGTGCTCGGGCTGCCCTCGTCCCTCATCATCCTCGAGGTGGTGCCGTTCCTGGTGCTCGCCGTGGGCGCCGACAACATCTTCATCTTCGTGCAGGAGTTCCAGGTGCGCGGGGCGGCGGTGGGGGTATGGGG